CCCACCCCTCCCGGGACCCCGCCACCTTCGCCAGGACGCTGTGTCCCCTCCTCCCCCCACCCCCGGGTGTGCTCACCCGTAGCCCAAGCACGCCAGCCAGTGTCCCGCCCTCCTGGCTTGAGGCGGCGAAGCCCCTGCTCTAGCTGAGCTACACGGGCCCTCTCTCAGCACGAGGCAATCCCGGGTGGACACCTGCGGCTTCTGCTAGCTAGCGTGGTTTCCCTGTGAACTGCCCGGCAGGCCAGAGCGCTCCGCCCTCTGTCCTGCAAGGCTCCAGGGCCCTTGGCTCCCATCCCCCTCCCTGCGGCTGGCCTATGCCCCTGCTCTGGGGTCCCCGCCCCCGGGCTGTGTTTCCTAACCTGGACTTCCCTGAGTTCTGCCTACACCGAGTCAGCATCCCACAGCAGCAGCGCTCCATGGGCGAAGTCCCAGAGCACAGGGCTCCTGCCAGCACCTCTGAGGAGCAACCTGTCGCCATCACATCTGGTTGCACTTGGCAGAACCGCAGGCCGAGCATAAAGGAGTGTACCCGCCGTACACTGGGCCCCTCCTTCCCTCCAGACCGGCCCGGGGCCGTGGAGAACTCCAGGCCCTCTGAGAACCTAGCAGGATCCAGCCTTGGGCTGAGTAGGCGCCACCCAGCTAGCCTGTAATGTTCCCCTACTGAGGGGCAGCGTTCAGGCCCAGCCACTGGACACCCTGCACCCCGGTACCAGGGCAAGCAGGGCCCCTGGGGGCACGGTGGGCCTGCACAGCTCAGTTAGGAAGGAATTCACCTTGGTGGGTCCCAGCCCAGGCTGCTCTGCTGAGGGCCTGTGGCCAGCGGCCATGGGAGGTTATTGCTCTCTGACTATTGAACTGATCCAAATCTTCACCTTCACTCCAGACAAGGCCTCCATTGGAATCCTGGGTGGAGTTCTGGCCTCTGGCCGCCTGTAGGGGTCCTGCAGGGAGGGGGAATCATCCTAGAGCTAGAGCTAGAGATAGCTCTGGAGTGTCTTGAAGGGTATTCGATCAAACAAAGCAGTTGGAAGATGGAATAACTGTGTCTATCAGAGCATTATAGAGTGTTTTTAAATTTAATCTCCCCCACCACCACATTGGTCAAGGAGGTGGAACATGAAGTGCTATTCCCAGACACCTCCACTCTACCCTCATGTCACTTCCCCTCTGCTTCCCCAGTACGGTGGGTGATGCTCATTCCCCCCAATGTCCTGGAAGCCTGTGACATCACAGCTGCATCTGTACCATATGGCCAATTGTCTGCATGGCATCACCACCTGGATGGACACTAGACATCTCAAACTCCACATGGCCTGAGAAGAGTTCCTGGACACCCCAAACCCACTTCTCCCATAGTCTGCCACCTCAGATTATAGTAGCTCCATCCTTCATATTGCCCAGGCCAAATGCCCTGGACTTTTCCCTTTTTAGAGATACAGACAATTATGTTGTTTCCATCTTCAAAATATATCCACCCTCTCAGCTTTCTCTCCTTCAATGTTACACACTGGGACCAGTCACCAACATCTCCCACCTGGATTACTCCAATAGCCACCTAACCTATTCCTCTGTTTCCTACCTTTCCCAAAACCTCTCTCCCCAACCTCAGTCTACTCCCAATCTCTGTTCACCTACAGTGGCTCCCCATTTCACTCAGAGTAAAACTGTAGTGCTCTGGTAGCCTAACAGGTCCTGCACAAGATACCCCCTCCTATCTGGATGACATCATCTACCTTCTTGCCCTCCCTCCCTCTGCTCCAGGACTCTTGACTCTTCCTTAGCACACCAGACATCCCTCTTTAGGGCCTTTATACTGCTGTTCCCTCTGCTGGAATGCACTTCCCCAGATATCCATAGGGCTGGCTCCCTCATTTCCTTTAATTTTGATACACATGTCACCTGGCCACCCTATATAACATTTTAAAACCCCATACCCATCCCTGGCACTTCCTCTCCCCTTTCTCGGTTCGTTTTCTCTCTTGTACTTACTACTAGCTGTCCTCCAGTATATGTTAGGCCCCAGGAAGCCCGCAATCTGTGCCCACAGCTGTATTCCCAGTTCCTAGTACAGTGCTTGGCAGGGAGTGTCTGCTCAGTGAATGTTATAGGATTCTGTTTTCCTGGAATTTTCTGGAAATTCTGTGGGCCACAGGATTGTAGACACACAATAGGAAAGGGTTCCATAGCTTTCATTCATTTCATTGCATTTTAAGGAGGTTTATGATGTGAACAAAGTTTAAGCAGGATGGAGGTCAGGCAAGCATCTATTTTACCTTGAAACCAGCCTAGAATAATGTCACTCAGTAGAACTGTGGCCCAGGTGTGTTGTGGTTCCTTTAGTTACTATTGGAAACAGAGGTTCCCTTGTGGATATCACCTTGGGTACACCCAAGATTTATGGAGAAATGGGAGAGGAGGACAGAGACAGAGGTGGGGTGAGGGCTTTCTCCACACTGAGTCGACAGCTATGAGACTCCTTTGTCACCCAATATGTGAACCAAGTATTGAGCTAACAGCATATCTCTCTCCATTTTCTGAGGCCTCCATGTGCTTTATCTGCATGAGCCCATGTACCCGATGAGGTGTAGGACACCATTATTTCCATGTTCTAGATGAGGAAATGGGGGGCTCAGAGAGGTGAAAGGACATGTCCAGTGTTGCAAACTTTGAGAGTTTCAGAGCTGTAAGCATTGGGCCTCAAAGCTTGGCCTTCCTATATCTTCCATGTGTCCATTCATGCTTAGTATGTGCAGTCCTGGTGAGGAAAGAAATCCTGCAGAGGTCTCATGGGGTTGCCCTTCTCCTAGGAGAATCTTCTGGCCCTGTTGCTGAGAGGCTGCCAAGCAAAGAGTTGGACTTGATCTATGGGGGTGCAGAGGCACCATATAAGGCCAGTGTGGGCCTGCCATTGGTCTGACCCCAGCCTGGAGATTGAAAACAATCAGCAGTCATCTGTCATTAATAGTCAGTCACATTCCTGTGAATGTATGCTAAGTTTTCCCAAATTCATGTAATGAGTGCTGAGGGCTTATCTGCAGCAGCTGGAATTCTGTGTGTGGCCTGCACAAGTCAGGTTCCATGGAGAACAGGCATGCTGACTGCAGGTAAGAAGCACACATCCAATTGCTCTGTTCATGGTTACTCCCTTGCTCTAGAACCACCTGTGGCTCCTTATTGCTGACAGTACTCAATCCCAATTCCTCAGCTTGGTATTCAAGACCCTCTATCAGCTGGCCCCAGCCTCTATCAGCTTTATCTCCTGGTGCTTTCACACATGACTCCTGGTTTCCTGCCTGGCTGGACTACTAATTAGACACCAAACAATTATTGGTTCTTCCCATATCCCTATCTTTTCTCATGCATTTCCCTTGCCTTGAATGCCAGCTGAGGGGTTAATCTCAAAAGCCCCCTGCTCTGTGAAGCCTGACCTGAGTCCCATTGCAGCACAAATTCCCTCTGTCCTTGGCTATTCGTGACCCTATCTATATCTCTGACTCCACAGACCTTCACCCTCAACACTTCCTGTTCCACAATATTTTAAATTTATATTTTAATTGCAGTTTTAGGTTCACAGCAAAATTGAGTGGAAAGTACAGAGAGTCCTCATATCCCCTGTCTGCACACATGCACGACCTTCCCCATTAGTAGCATCCACGGTGGTACATTTATTACAATTAATGAACCTACATTGATACATTATTGTCACCCAAGTCCATAGTTTACATTATGGTTCACTTTAGGCTGTTCCACCATTTTACCAGAGACTTTTGGGGTTCCCCTGAAGCCTCCCTGATGAACTTATGGCTGACCTGTGACTAAGGTGAAGGAGGTTCAGAGTGCCCTCTGGATGGCAGAATTTGAATCCAGTGGGAGGAAATGGGGTGATGAATATGGCAGACTCAGCATGAGGCAGTTGACTGAAGGTCATCCCTTTTACCTGCTCTCCCTGACTCTCCCCTAGCTCCCAGCCTCCAGCAGTCATGCACCAGCCATTCAGAGGCCACCCACTCCCAACCCAGGCTCTGAGCTCTAGGTTCCTGGAGCGTTTATTCAGGGCTTATTGGCTCCTCCTCTGCATACAGTCCTGACCCCAGAGGTGACCTGTGTTCTCTGACCACAGCAGACTGGAGGCCATAACCAATAGGAATCAGGACAGACAAATGCCAGTGGGAGGCCAAGGGTGGTGACTTCCCCATGTAGATAAAGTACAACTTGATCGGGGAGATTAGAGGCTTAGGTATACATCCAGGTTCTGCCAAACTTCAGATATCTCACTTGTCAAATGGGAATCATAGTGGTCTTGCCTTACTGGGGTGTAATCGGGGTTGTAGTCCCCTATGAATGGGACCACCCTTGGCAGTGCGCCTGGCTTATAGGTCATTAGTCCTCAGAGAAGAGGCTATTGTATGGATCATTATGACAAACACCCCCAAAGACAGGAAGCAGGTGTGTAATCTAACAAGATGAAACATATTAGAATGAAAGCTCAGTCCCCCTCACCGCTACAGGTCCAAACATATGAGATATTGCTCAAATTGTGAGTGTTTTTGATATGTCTGGCAAAAAGTGAGTCTATGCCAGGTGAGTCTGTCCAAGATCAGGGCATTTGTGGGGGAACACATGGCATTTTCCCTGTTGGGACGGAATAATGCCACTGGGAAATGAGTCCAATTATTACTCTTCATTGTATTCCTAATTTTAATTTTCTTGGGGACATTGAGGGTGGTAAGCATTTTTGAGAATCACAGTGGAAACAAATGGGAAATTGTTAAAATATTGATTGTAATTTCCTGGAGACTTCACTGATTTAAAAAATAGGAACCTTTAAGAAAAAAGCCCTCATTAGCAAGCAAGCAGTTAATTAAGGGGCTGAGAACGGCTGCATTGATTTCACCATGAAACCAGAAA